TGGACATTATTTTTCAAACCCGTTTCATTTACTTTAATTGGTTCAAAAAATGTTTACTCCTACAAACGATTAGAACACTCCTTTCACTTCTTAATTAAATTTTTTATTGTATCACTTCTTGTGGGATCGGCCCCAACTCTTAGTTGGGTTTATACTTGATTGACCTTCACTTAAAATCGAACGAAATGTTGTTGAACGTTATCAATAGACATCAAGTTTGGGTCCAAAATTTCACTAAATTTGGATTATTTCTACAGATTACTTCTACGATCCGTATAACACCCTATGGTTTGTCATGTTCATTCGTAGGTCAACTTACTAAGACTTGAAAATTTCCAATCTCAACCTACATCCTATGGCTTCCTTTCCCTCCTATAGTCCATATAGTGGACCCACAGAACCGATCATCAGTTCCTAAAAATGCAATTTCCCTTTTTGATCGAACTTCTAATTTCCTAGGTTTTACATTCTCACACTTACAATATGTGGGGATAGAATGTCCACATGAAGTACTACTCTAAGACTTAGTGTTAGTCATCCTATCATTATTGAACTTAAGTAACAAAGAACTGGCAAAAGATGGAACTGAGCATGAATACCTTTGTCTGAACTGAGAAAGACCACCGCCTCTAGATCTTATCTCTTTAGTCAACACAGTAGTTCTACACTCATTTACTATAATATCTCTAAGACAGCGGAAACAAACTTGATCATCTAAACTTTGGAGTCAGCCACCATAGTCGCAGCATACTTGGAGAGTAGAGTAAATTTCAAAGCATACTCTTACACACTCGTATTACCTTGCCTCAGATTGATGAACTCTTGAACCTAAGCCTTTGTCATCTCAAAAGGTAAGAATATATCTATAAAATCACCTTTGAACTTATTCCGATCCAAAGAAATCGCATCAACAACCCTCTTCTTCCTTTGTTTGAACGAAATTCGAGTGACACCCTAACTTGTATTTGAGTGACACATTATTATTATTATTATTATTATTATTTTATTATTATTATTATTTTATTATTATTATTATTATTATTACTATTATATTATTATTATTATTATTA